CTGTTGTCTTTGTTGTTCTTGAAAGATAGTAAGGAATTGATTGAACTGATCTGCATTCATTTTGAATACAAAATAATTTGAACACAAATTCTGAAAAATTTAGTAATCTTACATGTAATAATTCTGTTTTTCCTTCGTCGCCAAATAATTGTTGTGACTTTGAATTAGAGTTCATAATAAGCACACATTTGAAGAAACTCTTTTATTGAAAATTGTTATGATTAACTATAATAAAGTAAAATGTAAACATTGAAAAACAATTATCATCTGTCTTGACCTTATTTGAATTATTAACTAAATCATATGAAGTCAAGATAGACTAAAGGATATGACAATCGTAAAAACATTTTATCTTTTTTTAGAAGCCGGCCTTATTTTTTAGTGTTATATAGCCTTCAAATGTTTCCCGACTTATGGCTGTTACCACTAAACATTTCTTGCATGTATTCTAAATTCTAAACTTTGTAATTTTAGCCGTTGTTTGCGGAGTCAGCAACGTGTAGCAGTCAGATGTTTATTAGCCGACCTGTTCAACACCTGATTACCTGCTGATTAATAGCTGTGTGGTTTGGCGGGAACACCCGATCTGGCGGGCCGATGCACGGTCACGCGCGGGTATCACCGAAAGCAATGTGACATATATGGCTTTTATTTGAAAGACAGAATTTTATTCTTTTATGTCACTTCTCCAAAGGATCTTAGATATATTTACCTGTATAATAAACTGAAGTATTTTACTAGATTGTGTGTAATTTAAAAAAAAGATTGGCAGTTTTATCTTTCCATAAAATTAATAAAATGAAATAACGGTGGCAATGCATCTCTTAGTGGAAATATTGCGATTTGTTCTGTGCTGATGTAAACGCCAGATAGTACAGGTAAAATTAATACTTAAGACATGGTAAAATAATCCAGTTAATATCAATTATTACAAAATTGACCATGAGTCTGTTGCATGTTAAAGTTTTGAGGAAAATTAACCAAGAAACTGGTAGTTACGCCTCTTAAACCACCACGTGTCATATTGTGTCATATTGTTCATCAGCTACTAATGCATCATCACCCTCCATGGAATCATCAGGGGAGGGTCTCTAACTCGTTCTTCTCCATCGTCATCTTGACTTGACACTGACAGCTTAGGAGTTGGGTTTTTAGAGTTTGTACATTGTTTGCAATGCACCTTTTGCAAAATTGTTAACGTTTATGTAGTTGGTAAAAATATGGAGTTATGATATCTATTGCAGAGAGTAAAACAATTTAATTAACAACTAAGAAACTTTTGCTGGTAGATATTTATCACACGTTTTATATAAATGAAAACAAAGCTTCAATCTTTATTTTAAATTGTATGGGTCGATGATGAACCCACACAGATGATTGTACGTCGTCACATTTTTGTTCTCTATTACCTTCTGTACTGTGGTAAAGTATTATCTTTTGACTTAACCTGCTAATGTGGATAACAGACCTGCAAGTTTTAAATTTTGCAGTGTAAAATTTTGTAGAACTTAGAATAAATGTTCATTTGTATGAAAAAAAGACAATTTATAATTTGATCCCATTTTTATTCAATAACACATCCCACTGAAGAAGCTCTCGACCTTCCTCTTCAAACGCTAGCCGTCTCAACATCCTCTGGGTAGATTATCTAGAACCGATAGATCGAGGGTATGAGAAATCTTGAACTCACCCTGCTTCAGAAAGTCTAGGTAACTTTGGATCTGGAAGGTCTCTTCCCTTGTGCGTTCTAGAAGGCAAATAATGTTGCCCTTGATCTCCAACCAGCTATCCATCGGTGTGGAAATCTTAAACAGCAAATCCTTCCGATCATTCATATGAGTATTGACGTCCTTTAGGATATTTCTCACTAGCTTAATGAACATTGCAGATGCATAGTAGTTGTCTGTGACTCCTCGCACCAGGCAGAGAAGTTCCTCTTTGCTCACCGGACCCTTTCCACCAGCGTCTATGCTTTCCTTTTGCTCTTTTTCAATAACCTTCACGAAATCCCCGTATTTTGGCAAGTGGCATAGCATTTTCGCGTAGTAATCTGCGGTTATTCTTTCAGCGTGCACTGAAAAAGAGTTGAGCTTTAAGATGTAATCATTAAAATATGCGTCTAGACCCCCTTTGATTCTTAGAAGCATAAAGTTCAAACTGTTGCTGTCAATCTTCTGCTGGTCCACCTTTTTCTGACAGAGGGCTAGTAGGTCTATGCTCTGGAGAACGATCTTTTCAACGTCCTGGACAGAAATGTCAGTGCCTGATGGAGTTGGTGAAGGACATTCATCGTTCGATTTATCACCTTTGTCTGGAGTTGGCTTCGGTGTCGGTGAAGGTTTCGGCTTTGGTTTCACTACCACAGGCTTAGGTTCATCTTCAACTGGAGGTGGTGGTTGAGAGGTTGCTGGCTCAGGTGGTGGTTGAGAGGTTGCTGGCTCAGGTGGTGGTTGAGAGGTTGGTGGCTCAGGTGGTGGTTGAGAGGTTGGTGGCTCAGGTGGTGGTGCTGAAGAGGGTGCTTCTGGGATTGATTGGTCAGATCTTTTGGCGGAATCCAGCGTGGTTACTTGATAATTGTACTGGAATTTAGGTGAAAGCTTGGAAAGTGTGTGTATGCTAGAATTAATATTATGTTTTATGTTTCCTTGGATATGTCAAATTGTATTTTTGTTTATTAAATTAAATGTCAAATGAAAACTTATAATAGTAAGTGAATGGAAAGCTGAGTGTTCAACATAATTAGCCTTAAACATGTTCTATCCTTGGACCATAGATTTTCGTATGGCACATTTTTATAAAATTTTATAGTAAATAGTTTAGTTTTATCATTGACTAGCTAGTTTCTTTTAGTGTACAGCATGGAGAATAAAAACACTTGCTACTATTTATAACAGTATTTACATGAAAGTTTCCATACGTTTTTATGACGAAAATTTGTTAAAACCAGTAAGAGCTCTCTGACAAGTAGTTCACAATAGCTCAACTGATACTACTTGTCCAATCGGTCGGAATTCTCTACTAACGAAAGAATTCATGGGAAGTATGAAGAAGTCTATTAGTCATGCGGGTTGCATCAACTGTCCTCGTGGACTTTGTAAGGCGCTATAATAGGGCCGTATTTAGAACCGATGACCCCCGGTCACATCAGAGAGAGCCCTCCTTTATCCAGATTCAACTAAATGAACTTGACAATTGTTTACGATCAAATCGGCGAATAAACCTAGGACGCTAGGACACGGTCCAATAAATAATTCAATTCTTTCATTGATACTATTAGGAGACTGCACATTTTACGGGAGAAAATATGTGCACTCAAGCTTGAACTAAAATATCTCTGAGATGGATGATTCAATTTTGTTGAAACAAAAGTTAAATATAAGCTAGTTTAAATACATTTTACTGGTAACAATAAAAAAAAAAACAATAAAATAAATTGGTTTACCAGACAAATTTATATGATTGAAAAATCATAAAAAGTACAAGTTTTTAAGAAACTCTTAATTTTAACTTTAAACTTTTTAAATTTTAACTCTTCAGGAACACTAAAGTTTAAAATAACAATTGTAATTGTAAACAATTAATAATTGTAAACAAACCATTAAACCAATCTTTCTGAAATGTTATGGCCTATTGGTAAGTTTATTGTTATCATTTTATTGCATTTTCAAAATTGTATTCACAATGTAGTTTTTATGCTACTGTTAGTTGTTTAGACGTATGCTAAAATCTTTAATAAGACACTACAAACTTCATTCAAAATACCATCCTGTTTATCGTGACACAAGTAATAAATAACTACGATATATCAGATTTATAATGTGGACAAAGATGTTTTTAAACAGATTTTTATTTGTAAACAAAATTTTCTCCTGTGACTGGCCGCCTCATATTTCTAAAATATTTCCCAGCCGGGCAGAAGCACACGTGACACTGTGACATTGCCGATGTATATCTGGCTATCACGTTGATATTTTTCTGTTTTAAAAAAGTAAAAGCTTTTATGGCCGTGAGGATCACGCTCACGAGATTATAAGTTTACACTTTTCCCTGATCGTGGATGTCGACGAGAACATTTTCCCGCGGGTGACAATGACGATGTTTCTTGCGGCCACGGGAGATGTTCAATATTTTGCCGCTATTGTGGAAGACAATTATGATGTCCACACGACTGAAGGAAACTTCCGCTGCGATAGTGTACGACGATTTTAATGTTTCGTTGCCCTTATGAGATATTCTAGAATTCGATGCTATTGCAGAAGACGATGATGACGTTTCTCTTTCCACTGGATATGTATCAAGGATTTTGCCACGATTGTGGAAAAAATTATGTTTCCATTACCGAGGGGCGCTGGAGATATAAAGGATTGGGCCGTGAATGCTGGAGACGATGATGCTGTTATCTGATGATGTCTTAGGGTTGGTTGCAATCATGGTGGACTATGATAATGATTTCATCGCACAAGAAGTATTCACGATCATGGAAGACGATGATGACGCCTCAGTGCCTCGGGCCAAGCCTCGGGCATGGCCGTGCCAAGCAAAAGTGCAAGTTTAGGCGGAAATACCCGTGATAATGTTATTAAAGATTATTGGCAGAGGGGGGCCCCATTAACAAACTTGCGAGGGGGCCCGCGGGCTCTTATCGCCTCCACTGATCCAGTCAAAGTTTATTTACTGAGCTCCACATAGGAATGTTTAAGGACTTAGCCGTAAGTCAAAACATGTAGACTGTTCATTGCCTTTGATACTTCTGGATATAGTGGCTATTTTTATGGCGATGTTATGTTAATATCAATTTCAACATAATTAAATGTTTAATGTTTTCTTGATGGAAAAGCACACAGACAGACTCGAGTCAACAGTATATATTGTGGTCAAATTATTTCAGATGGTGAAAACGATGAAAATTATCAAAAAGTATCATGGATGACCTGTACAGGCATTTTTCATTGAACAATGATATCTGTAAATAATAGTTAAGTTCAAAAATTATAATTTACCTGTTGGAGAAGTGAGTTGAATAGAGATGGCTCCTCTACATCCATACTGTATAAATGGAACCACTTGAAGTTGCTCCAAATAGACAACTTCTTTGGAAGTGCCAGAACATGCGGAAGTATCAAATATTGCCTCTAATAACTGTCCTTTATTTATTGTTATTGCTTCTCTATAAAAACCAGACTCATTAAATAAAAATGCTTTTTAATGCTTCCTCTTTTTATACTTTTAAATATGACTTTTCAGTTATTTCGATAGACGATAATTTTAGGTAGCTAGCTTATTGTTTTAAGAAACTATGCACATGTACCAAGAAGATCAGCCAATGGCCAAAGGTATTAAATTATTTAAATTAAGGTATTAAATATTTTTTTTGAGATTATAAATTTGAACTTTATAACAGAAAACAAAATAATGAACCTCCACAAAGTTATACCTTTGATTATATATACACCATTTTCAAGACACATTTTTCAGTATAGGCCTACATTTCAAGCCTAATGTCATATAACGTACCCTGTAGAGACCAAAAAAATATTATTAAAGGTAATTATGATACAAGCTATTTTATCACTACAATACACCCTTTTACTGTATGTACCAGCTCACCCCTTGCTTTGCTGGATACGTTCCACGCACAGGCCCATAGCCTATGTGGACGCGCAAATGCAAGGTTAAAAAGACCGCCAACCCCTTCAAAAAAACGTTAATATAAAGTTTGTACCAAAACTAGAAACTAACTTAAAACCTTTTGTATCATCAAGATAATAATACATTAGTTTATCAGACAAGCATAAGAAAAAGCCATTTTTCGTTTGTTTTACACAGCTATACACCTATTTTTCCATCATTTAACAAAGCACTTACAGAGTTCATGATACTGTATATACACAACAGCTATGAAATTGCATATTCTTATTCTGAAATAACTTTAGAACTATGTAAAAATTGCAAAATACCAAATAGCTTACCATGTATTGATGGCTAAAGAAAATAAGAAGTTTTGGGAATTTACAAAGCTGTAACTAAGTCAAAGCAATAACAATAACATGTTAGACTAAAAAATATCTAAATATTTCGACAGATACAACAAGATCCAATTAAAATATATCATCCCACCTGAAGTACAGAGATACGCTACAGTTTCTATTCTCCGGCACTGTTGTCCACGTTTTTGCCAAATCAACCATTCTCTTGGCATTCATCAAGCCGAAGCCGAAGTCCATGCTGACCCAGAACCCTGCAGCATTTCTTCTCCAAGAGCCTTGGTTGTTAGCCAGGGGAGCTACTTCACTACTCATCACTATCAAGTGTTTTACATCTCTGTAGGTCAGGTTGGGGCTGTAATTTACATACAATATTACAGGTCATTTTATTTATTCTTTTATAGAGCACTTGGCTTGGCTTAGGAATATGCGAAGGAAGATGGAATGGGGATACAATTAACTAACTTACACAAAAAAAAAGAGTTCCAGACGGTTGATAGAATACAAAAAGCTAAAAAAAAATTGGATATTTTGTCCCTACAACTTTTCAGGCGCGTGCCAGTTTGATAACTGCCATCCTACCTACTTCATCTAAAGAAGCCTCCTTGGGGCAAAATATCAAATGTGTTTTCATCCAGACACATTTGAACCAAATATAGATTGTATATGGTTTTTTTTACATTTGTAAACAAAGAATTATGATGAATACTAAATGAATCCAGAAGTGATACTACACTGAATGTTTCAGATCTTTGAATTTATTGGATATTACATCACATCTTCCAATTTAGTGGATAGATATCTCCAATAGGCCTTCAGAGAAAGTTCTCCTTGTCTTAGAGAACCTATTTTGCATCCAGAGAGGTGGTGGATCATTTAGACAAGCTTCAAGAAACAAAACAAACAAAAAACTAGAACTTTAAAAAGAACTTGAATCCTAAAGAATGCCAGAATATTACATAATGTCAGAAAGGTTTTTCACAAAGTTTTGCTATTTTTTGGTGTACAGTAGTATGTATGTGAGTACTGTGCACGTAACATGTGTGTGTCAAGTGTCAATGTATCAGTGTCTAGTGACCCAAATATGATAATTGCACAGTGCACACTGTAACTATTACATCAAGAATAGTTTATATTCCGTAGCTGCTAAACGTTGAAGCAATACTTCTCTTGCTAGAGACATGAAAATTTCTCCCTTTATAAAGTATTGCTAATTTGCTTTTCATTTTAGTAAAAAACTCAGTCTGTATTTAAAAAAAAAAACTTTCTAATTTGCTGGTCAAATTTTTATTGTCATTTTGACTTCAAAATACTGCTTGTTTAAATTGATATACATTTAGAATATTGCTTTATAGTATTCTTTTGTATTTTAAAATACATCATTAAGTTAGCAGTTCATATGTAACCTTTAACTGTTTAGGAACTAAAAACGCAAACGTATATTTTTTGGCCTGAATATTTAACAGGATAGAAAACTTTGACTAGTGTGATTTTGTGAAATATTCCCTCTAGTTTTTTGTTTCTGTTTTACCTTAATAAATTTTTTAGGAAATGTTTTTCCTAGTGTGAATGAGGGTTAAGTGCGGAAATGGGTTATGGGGTGTAAACAATGGGCCTTGAAAACCCCTATTAATTGGGGGGGGGGGTGTAAATTGGGTTATGGAACCTTGACAACATTTTTTCTTTGTGGTCTTCCCCCTATCTTCTCACAAGAAGTCTGGGTACCCACCAAAAGCATAATTCCTTTTGAAATCAATATTTTCACAGCTATTTTTAAACTGCTATCCCATTTCTGCACTTTCTCCTCTATCTCTGCACTATCAGAGCCATAGCTTTCAGTCATCTGGCGATGAATGTCAGCTTCGTATGTGTTTCTCGTAGTAAAAAAACTTATCACTGAACTTATTTGTCTGCAGCGGGAGATTCCTCCCCCCCTAAAGCCCACGTCACAGAATCCTTCCCAAATTTGTATCCAACCCATGCCGAGAGGTCCCAGAGCATCTCCCCTGTTAGCGCTACAAATGGTGTCATCTGTTCACAAATGATACCAGTAAGCATGATGCGAGGAGCCTTGTTGCGGCATACCGTACATGATAACTACATAACTGTCTGCCAAAACGCCCTTACATAAAAGTGGCCCTCGTATTTATAAGATGTATAGCAAAAATTGAATTAGATTTGTATGAATGCTTTTAATGTATAGTTAGTCCCTTTGGAGGACTCTGATCTGGCTCTCCCTATCTCCCCCTAGCAGGAGAATGAAACAGTTTTGTTCAGCTGGCTGGTTAACAACTTGCTTATCACAATCAGACTAACATAAAACTTTCATGTTCGTATTTTCATAGTAGTTTTATACATACTTGGCCTGGAGTGCAAGAGCTACAATCCCAGCAGCCATTGGAACTGAAGCTGAGGTGCTTCCAAACCTGTTGTGGCATGTGTTGTCAGGATCTGTAGTAACCTGAATAAAACCATCATAAAATATACTTTCATTTTTACCTGTTATTAACCTTTATAAAATCACTAGCTATTGTACCCGTGCTTTGCAACGGGAAGAGGACACGAAATAGAAACATTTTAATCTTTATAAAATTTGTACATCTGTTGTATAAATAGTTACACATCCGCCAACCCTTTTTAGAAACAAAATTCAACCTTTATGACCTTTATAGAAACGTTTGTGGCTTTTAAATCTGGTTATACTTTTTTTATACTTTTTCAATGAATTGGCGACCATCATGTTCAAGACTGGCATGAATCTAGAAGCAGGTTGATATAGCAATCATAGCATCAAAGATAAAGGTTATGGAGGTAATACAAGGATTTTGTCAAAGGTGATGCTTGAGTACAGACCACTCCCTCTCCGTCCTCTCCTCCGCTAGAGTACGTAGTGGCAAATATCGCAGAGCAGCGCTCACTATAGTGGGTGGTTCCTCCGCTCCGAGTGGCGCTGGCAATCGTCATCAGATAGAGACTGTTGCTGTAGGCATCTGCCCCACAGTTATCTCCCCGCACCTTGCCATTGCCTGCTGGGAACAGGTAAATGGAACCTTTCCCATTTCTCCCCTGAAAATTGATGAAGATGAAAGTATTATATAACGTTTACATATCAAGGTGCATGACTTGAAGCCTTGAAGTGAAGATGACATGTTTTGAATGAATGTGATGATAGCTATGTTACTGACTAAGATCATTTAAGTAATGATAGCTATTTTTAATTGTAATGTTATAATTTTGAGGTTTACTCAAAACCTTGAGTGTCTTCCAATTTCCAATACAAAAAAATTAATCCTTCAAGCACACGCCTCATCCAAAACATTTTCCAGCTATAACTATTTTTCAATGTTCAACTTATACTCACAATTTGTAGACATCTCTGTATAGCTTTCCCGGACAGGGTTCCCATGTTCTCCATGATCGTGCCACTATCCCCAGGCCCCCAGGAGTTAGAGAAAACATCAATACCTTCACACTTGTACCTCAAGGCTTGCCCCTCAACCACATCTACTCCAGGCTGCTCCAGCATCTTTATAGCTGGAAAATCAAGTGTTTGTGCAGGAAACGTTTTTCTGACAAAATGAAATAATCTTTACAACAGTTTTTGGTACATCTGTTCTTCTAGGTGAAACATTTAAATGGTTGTATTGCTATATTATGTAACGATTTTACAATGGTGAATCCAAATGATTTTAACAAGTGCAGAAACATAGATTATCAACAGCCCCAAATACTAATGACTGACCCTGCCTTCAATTAAGATATTTAACTGCCATAAGTAATTTAGATTTATACGATGAGGACAATTATACAGCAAGTGGATTGCAAAGGATGAGGCTATTGAATGAATGGGATTTGAGATAATAGCTGTTAAATAAACTAATAAAAGGTTTAAATTAGGCTTACCGGTACCTGGTGTTTTTAAAATGATCACTTTTAGCTTAAAGTACAGTTGTTTTGTACTGCTAATTAAGTGCATCATAATTACAGAATGTCAATGTGGTGTTTACAAATTTATCATGGTGGTGTTCATCAAAAGTTTTAAATAACATGAAACACATACAAAACTAAACATTTAATGAAACTGGTCAACCAGACGTTAACAACTTCATAACACATGTTATGTTAGGCCGGTGGAGGGTAAGTTGTAACTGTCAAGTGTGGGCCAAAAACACAAAATCATTTTGACAGCAACCAGATAATTTAGACCCTTAGTCAATAAAATTATTTAGAGGCCAATCTATCATGAAACAACAAATAAAATAAAGGCTTGATCTATGATACTTTGTAATCCATGGTAGTATAAATAAAATACAATAATTTCATGCTGCAGAGCATATGGAACAAATCTTCAGCTCAGAAAGTCTAGATAGTTGAAAAATTAGAAAACGTGTGTAATTGATATAATACAACGGATTGTTCCGACAGTAATGCGGGTAACATAATCCTCTATCGTTGTTTCTAAAGATATAAGTCCAATCTGTCAGGTTGTTATTTAGCCTAGAACATCTACTAATATTCAAATTGTCAAGGACATTTTGCTCCATTTTAATCACCACCAAAATAATAGATTTTCGGTATTATATATAGACCTGCAAGTTTAGCGTTGTAAGCGACGCCCACTCCACACTCTCTATTATTAGCAGCCATGGAAAGAATACCTGCACACCTCGTACCATGGTAGTATCTTATACCATACTTGTACCCAGGGGTCACATCACTTCCGTTGTGGTTGAGGTCGTAACTATACTCTGCGTCCTGATCGAAAAAAACAATATTAAAAACTGTATAAAGTTGTGTTAATCAAAACTCTAGTTCAGGAAATGTATTCTTATGTAAGATTTAGGAATGATACGATTCCGTTCCCTATCAAAGGCAAAAAATGCCACTGGCTTTAGAAACACACAAAATAAATAAAATAAAATAAATTCAAACCACATAGTATAGTAAACCAGCGTTCCAGGATATTCTTCAAGAACTGTGGGTCAATGATGAATCTGAGTTCCATAACTTGTTCCTAATTTTCTTCAAACATATTCATTCCAATTCAACCTTTTATTTCGAATGGGAATGCAGCTACCTATTCATATAATTACTAACCTTTTTTTTACAGTATGCACACAATGCATCATAGATTTCCTACCTATAGATCGATTTTGATACCTATTAATTAACAGCTGCGTCTAAGGAATAAGTCGGTCTTAGTCACTAACAAGACTACAAGATCATGCCACTCATCCTACTCATCTCCATTCATACTTGGCTTAAAATACCTGTTGTATTAAGTATGTTCTTTTAGTCATATATGATTTATTTGTGTTTAAATATCTTTTGTTGACAGATGATTTTTGTAAACATGTTTTGGTAAACATTGGTTTAGTTGAAAATAGAGTTTGTTGAAACAAGATGTGTGTTTAATATTCTTGTATTAGAAATAGAACATGGTGGCAGCTTAGTGGATTTTTATCGAACTGAAAGTCTAAAACCACGCATAATGTCAAGTAAGGGCAGAAAAAAACGAAATACTCGGAGGCACAGGTATGAGGATAACGGTGAGGACGACGCCCAAAGTGAACTCAACTACGTTTCAGAAAGGGACTCTAGAAAGACTAAAGATGAGTCACGAGGTTTTGCATTGGGACATACGAACCGAGAAAATGATGCAGCTATGTATACTCCTACTCCGATGGTCAATATCACGTTACCAACTCCAGAGACGTTCTTTTTTACTCCGAATGAGTGGCATTCCTGGAGGAATCGCTTTCAAAGGTACAGACGGGGTTGCGGTCTGGATAGCACTTCCGACGCTCGGCAAATCGATGTACTTTTGTTTGTAATGGGTAGTAGAAGTGAAGATATTTTTGATTCGTTTTCACCAAAACCTAATACTTATGACGAGGCTCTTAGGGCCTTTGATGAATACTTTGTGCCAAGACGGAATATAATTTATGAGAGATCAAAATTTTTGAGACACAAGCAAGGGAGTGATCCATCTGAAAAATTTATAACAGATTTGCATGGCCTTGCGAAAACGTGTGCATGGGGTGAACTAAATGATGAGATGATGCTTCTCGTCCTCATTATTGGTATGCAAGATGAGGGTCTGAGTGATAGACTCCAGCTGGAATCTCAATTGACTCTGGAGAAAGCAATTAATACCTTGCGCCAACATGAGGAGCTAGAACGCCAAAAACGTGAACTTGCCAGTACTAATGTTTTTTTGGTAAATAAAACGTCAGTTCAAAACGGTAAAGCGAATCGGACAGAAGGAGTTTGTGACCAGAAATACATCGAGGATGCAGAAAATACAAAGAAGTGCAGGAAATGTGGTTATGATTGGCACGGATCACTGGCCGAATGTCCTGCTAGGAAAGCCAAATGTGCAAATGTTCCGAGATTGGACATTTTTTTCGATGCTGTCCCTACCGCGAAAAGTGGATGAGAAAAAACAAAAACGTTGTTAAAGAAATCGAACAGCAAGTTTCAGACTGTGGAGATCTACAGGTTCCTGAGATTTTCATCGGGAATATAGAAAACAATGACAGAGCCTGGGCCCAGGAGGTAAAAGCAAGCTGTGGAAACCAAGTGTTAGGGCTTATAAAATTTAAACTTGACACAGCCGCTGATGTAACCATGATTCCAGTAGGAGTTCTTGGTGATTTTATTAAGACTCTGCCTCTAGGAAAGTGCAAATCCCCTGTGTACAGTGCAAAGAAGAAAGAACGAATCAATATTTTGGGAACTTTAAGGCTGAAGCTTGAACATAAGGGTGTATCAATTTATGATAATGCGTATATTTCTGAGGAGATCACTGTTCCACTTCTTAGCAGACGTTCCTGTGAAGAGCTGAACCTGGTGAAGAGGATCTTTTCTGTAGATTCATCAGATATTGACTGGGTTACTGAGTACCCTAATTTATTTCAAGGATTGGGAAATATGAAAGGAGAGTACAAGATAGAAATGAAGGAGAATGCAGTTCCTTATGCTATATCTACCCCCAGGGTTGTACCAATACCTTTAAAAAGCAAGGTGAAAGAGCAGTTAGAGAATATGCTTGAAAAAGGAGTGATTGTCCCAGTTGAACACGCGACTGATTGGTGCGCACCAATGGTAGTTTGCGCAAAAAAGAGAGGTGGGGTTACGATCTGCGTGGACCTATCCAAACTCAACAACAGTGTGAAACGTCGGTTTTATCCTATTCCAAAGATTGAACTTTCATTGTCCCAGATCGCGGGAGCCAAGTACTTCAGCAAAATCGATGCGAATTCCGGTTTCTGGCAACTGAACCTTGCAGAGGAGTCTCAAGATTACACAACATTTATCACCCCTTTCGGGAGGTATAAATTCTGTAAGGTACCTTTTGGAATTACATCTGCTCATGAAGAGTTTCAGCGCCGTATGTCAAAAGCTTTAGAAGGGGCAAAGAACTGGTTAGTGCACATTGATGACTGTTTGATATGGGGAAGAACGAAAGAGGAACACGACGAGTGTCTTAGAGCCGTTCTAGAGAGAGTGCAAGCTAATGGAATCACTTTGAATAAGCAGAAGTCTGAGTTCTGCAAGAAGACTGTGACATTTTTGGTGTTTGTGCTGTCTAAGGAAGGAATCAAGCCTGATCCAAGCAAGGTACAAGCAGTTGTGGACTTACCAGCCCCAAGTAATGCTAATGAAGTCCAGAGATTCATGGGCATGATCACTTTTCTGGCTAAATTTATTCCGAACTGCAGTGAGATTTTAGAGCCAATTACGAGCTTGTTAAAGACTAAAAACGATTTCTTTTGGGGACCAACTCAGGAAAAAGCTTTTGTCACAGTGAAACAGATTTTATCATCAGAGCCATGTTTAACTGTTTACGATCCGGAAAAGCCCTCGATTCTTTCTTGTGATGCTTCAAAAAAAGGTCTTGGAGCGGTTTTACTACAAGTTGAAGGAGAAAACAAGAAACCTGTGGCATATATATCTCGGACTCTAATGCCTGTTGAAGAAAACTACAGTAACATTGAGAGAGAAGCGCTTGCGTGCACTTGGGCAAGTGACCGTTTAAAATGTTTCCTGATGGGTAAAATGTACACAATTGAGAGCGACCACAAACCGCTTGTCTCAATTTTCAAAAGACAAAATTTGGACGAGCTCTCACCGAGGCTACAGCGATTCCGAATGCGTATGATGAGATACGATTATCGCATGACCTGGACCCCAAGAAAAGACCTTGCCATAGCAGATCTGCTATCGAGATGTCCTATTCCGGCTAATGAAGATGGCGAATTGACAGAAGAAGTGGAAGCCTTCGTCCATGAAATCAGTATGATTAGAATAAACACTACAGACGAAAATGTGACAAAAGTACTTCACTCACAAATGAGGGATCCAATATGTGCACAACTCAAGCTAAAAATTTTAGACGAATGGCCTGGAAAATCAAGTTTACCTAATGAGATTCAAGAATACTTTAATGTGAAAGACGAGTTAAGTTGTATTGATGGGTTATTGCTTCGAGGAACTCGGATGATAATACCTCATGAACTACGAGCGGAAATGCTTGAGAGGCTTCACAGTGGACACTTGGGAATCACAAAAACAAGGAAACGTGCTTTGGAAACCATGTGGTGGCCTAGAATTTCTCAAGAAATAGAAAGAAAAAGCAAATCGTGTCCAGTGTGTATTCAGAACTCAACTAATCACAGTGAACCATTGATTCCAGAACTTATGTTTGGAGGGAAAATAAGAGACAATCTTCCATCTACTTTGGTTGGAAATCCTGTGGAAAATAAAGACTTTTTTGAGAGGGAGAATAAGTACCAGTCGAAGTATAAGATGCAATTTGATGAACGAGATGGAACGAGGGGTTTAAGTGAATTAGAAGAGGGAAGCATGGTATGGATCACAGATCTACGTAGACATGGTAAAGTAGTCAGGAAATTGAACGAACCACGTTCCTACCTTGTGGACATTGACAAGAAAACCATTCGACGAAACCAGAAGTTCTTAGTTCCTGCACCATACTACGGAGAAGATTGCATTCTTTCAAACTGTTCATCTACGGTCCTTAATTGTCCATCTAACTCACGTGATCGTCCAGACGCTGGCACATTTACCCATTACGGAAGGTCCATCAAGATACCGAGGCGGTACCGAGCTTCATGAAGATGTAGACATCTTGAGGCGGGATGTTGTATTAAGTATGTTCTTTTAGTCATATGATTTATTTGTGTTTAAATATCTTTTGTTGACAGATGATTTTTGTAAACATGTTTTGGTAAACATTGGTTTAGTTGAAAATAGAGTTTGTTGAAACAAGATGTGTGTTTAATATTCTTGTATTAGAAATAGAACAATACCTACTTTGTATGGTCGCCATTTCTTCGAAAAGTATTAAAGAGTATTAAAGTATTTAATAATTAGAAGTATCAAAAGACACTACAAATTTCCCATGAGCTTCCTGCCATTCTTTTATCGTAGATAAAACTATTCCATTAGTACAAATAATTCAGGATTTTGCAAAGTTTTTTGCTTCTATAAAACTTATGGGTGATATTCTGTTAACATTGCAGTTTTGAGAAATAACTTTAAGGTGAGAACGAGAGTGATGTCCTAAATTTCCATTAATTAAGCACTGAATTAAAGTTTATACTGATAAGGCTGAAGGCTTAGAGTGTAGATTTTCTGCCTGGCAAACCAGGGTTAGAATACCACTAGTTGCCAATGTTTTCTTTTAACTATGTGAAATTCGTGTAACTTTGTGGTTTGGCTTGCAACTTAAGATGAGGCTTACTTTTACACTAAAAATGGTTAAAACTCTCAGGTGGAGTAACATTCTCTTAATTGAAGAACCTTCTCCACTAAAACCAACAAACTTTAGCTAATAAGACCTTCAGAATGAAAGAAGGTTTAAACTCACATAGTTCTGCTGCAAGTCGGGATGCGTAACGTCCACTCCATCGTCCACTACAGCTATCCTGACTCCTTCACCTGTGATGTTCATCTTGTAAACCTCCATCAGACTCATTCCCAAACCTATACCACTCTTGTCCAGTGGAGAACGGAGCTGAAAATATTGCAATTTGACCATGGAAAAGTGGGGTGGGAAATTGCCTTTTCCAAAGAACCTATTGGTAAGCAACCGGTATTTTTTTGCAACCTCGGTGAGCGTTCCCACACTGGAAAATGTACGACTACACTACAACATTAGATTCTTCTAATGTGAAAATGCATTCAATTATCCTAATAGTAGTAATACCCATGCTAAAATATGAACAACAGCACCGTCAAAATTTTGACAGCGTGGTGGATCCAGAGTGAGGCCTTAACTTTTAATTACAGTAGGTACCCAAAACAAATTACAGTAGTAGCCAATTATTTTATTATAAGTACTAACTCATTACATTTTAGTCTTCCTAAGAATTAGTTAATTAATTGCAGCACAATAATTGCATCCCCCATGTATTTTAATGTATGTTAATCAAGTGTTTATCAAATCATAAATTTGCAAATCACCTGAAACCATTTTACCTTTTTACTAAGAGAACAACAAAGTATGCCGCTCAAAAAAGTTTATTTTCAGATCTTTGTATTTATTTATCTTAAACTTTAACTACTAAAACCCTTACAAAGCTCAATAATTGAGTATTCTAGAGATATAATGAAACACTCTATTCAATCACACTGTGTATATCTTTGACTATTAATAATATCTAATTTCATGTAATATTAATTTAACTTACCCCATACCACTGCTTTTTCCATAGAGGATCATCAAAGTAGTCAAAGTATTCAGAAACATAACCTTTTTTGATTTCAACATTATCTTTGATTTTTTCCTTATCTTCGAATAAACCCAACCAAGAACCAATAGTTTCTAAGAAGTCAAAATAATTATTTGATGTATTTTCTGTTTTATTTTCCGCATGCAGATTAGGTTTTGGGATTGGGTGGACTATTTTATTTAAATTAGGGTCATCAAAGGATTTTTTCACCCTGTGTCTGACAGACTGTTGTTTTGCCAATAAAACCTAAAATTAAAGTTTATAACATTTTATTTTATTTAGCATACTCTCAATACCGAACCATCCACTATCAAATGGTGTTATAGCTACAAATGGAGCTTTTTTAAGTTTAGTTATTCTCTTACTGTCTATTCTAGATATTTGTTCAATTAAGTTGTTTTGAGGTCCAGAAGCATTTTGTTTTAGTTATGGAACAGATTCAGCTCAACTCCAGTCTTGTCGCAGTATAATTCAAAAATATTATTACATAGTGGTTAGTTCTAGCTCGATAGTTTTTAGAACTAGTGTCAGCATTTTAATATGTATAACAAGACACTAAAATTTTCTAAGAGCGTAAACCATTATTTTCTTGAATTTTCAAGACTACTGCTCCAAACAATCTGCTTAGTAATTTTTGTAATTTTTTAATTCCTGAGAAGCTTTTTTAAGACCTCATCTACGAGAAATATTTTAAAATAAAGTTTCAATGAATCTTAAAAACTGTCAACGACCCTATTAAAATTCTACAGGAAAGAGTTAAGAAAAGGTATGACTACATTTTATTCTGTCTACCGGTACTTACATTTTTGTTCCTAATCAACAGGTTTGTAAGATATGGTTTACTAAACCTTTGTCTTAAAGGTAACCCACTTCTTAGAAATATATAATGGTCATCAAACAACCACACCTAAAAGCATAATTGTTTCTTAGAACAAATTATTTCATCAGTACCTATATTAGGAGAACGTGTATATTAGAAATTATTCACCATTTGTTTCAGAAGGTTTTAGAATATTTTTTTACATAGGTAGTAATAATATATGATGGGTTGACAAGAAGAAGATACAGAATTTAAAAAGATCCTGGCCATTATATTGACTTAAGTGGTCCAATGCTGGCCATAAAATAATAATAATAATAGGATGGGTTGATAATGAATTGTTTTAATTTTGTCAATTATTTCATGAACCTAAATTCATATTTCCCAAGTAGCACTCATCGTTGGCCCAACATTGGGAAATGGTTGGCAGAAATTTTAACGATTTGCCAACGTTGGCCCAACGGAAACTGGTATTCGTTGGCCCTACAAAGAAAAGAATCGTTGGGCATTCGTTGGGTTTAAGTATAAAACATTCTAAAACGAATTTTAACAAATTGATTTATTTAAAAGTACATAAATGTTATGGCAGCAGAATATAAGACAAATATTGTAAAAATTTGGATCAATAATGAATGTTGTCAGATGATGTTGTGATACTAGATACAGTGGGGAACACCTGCTTAACATATAATAATTATTATAATTATTTTTTTTAATCCTATACTCTAATACGAGCAATGTTTGCTTGTATGTATGCTTGCTTGCTTGCAGAAAGATCTCGAAAACGGCTCCGACGATTTTCTTCAAATCTTGTAAATAGTTTATTTTTGGCCTAAAAACGAACTTCATGCAGTTAGAACTCCCAACAAAAATCTAATTACGTAGAAAAACTAAACTTAAAGTCATATTTTTTTTACATTAGTCTTATGGGTTGCTAAGTAACCATGTTGGTTGAATTAAATAACAAGGAAAAGTAAACAAAATACTTGAAGTTGAAGCATGTGTTCATTATAAGCCAACTACCCACAGTATACTAGCAAATTACAAATACAGTACAAAAGGAAAAACATCACTTGTTACTATTGATCAAAGATTATACTGAAGATTACTCAATACATTGTAGGCCTAGTAAAGGCTAGCAGTGCGAAGTGTGGGATCTGTTTATGACGATTAGATTAAGGTAGCCTATCTGGAATCCTAAAATGCTATAGGAAGGGAAGGAAACAGGTCCGCGACGTAGGAATTGGTGAAGGAAGTAGTAAAGGCAATCATAAAATGCTATGGGAAGGGAGAGTGACAGGTCTGTGACGTAGGAAGTGATGAAGGAAGTAGTAAGGGCGAGCAGTCCGGATTGTGGGGACTGTTTATGACGATAAGATTATAGGGTATCTGCAATCCTAAAATGCTATGGGAAGGGAGGGAGACAGGTCCACGACGTAGGAAGTGGTGAAGGAAGTAGTCAAGGCAAGAAGTCCGGAGTGTGGGAACTGTTTATGACGATTAGATTAAGGTATCTGCAATCCTAAAATGCCATCGACAAAAATAATTAAATATATACCGTCAGCTGTGATGTGGTTACCATAGGTTCTGGTGCACACCGCTGGGAGCGCCATGTAGTTACGGCCTACGCGCTACGTAACTACACGACGCTCCCAGTCCAGTGGTGTGCGCCAGAACCTATGGTAACCAGTGCACGGCTGACAGTCATGTTAATTCTTGTTGACTATGTTTCAGCTTTTAATACACAAAGAGCTATTTGAGAGCTATTTGTTTTATAAGGAAAACAGGTCCGCGACGTAGGAAGTGGTGAAGGAAGTAGTAAAGGCGAGCTGTCCGGAGTGTAAGAACTGATTATGACGATTAGATAAGGGTATGGGCAATCCTAAAATGCTATGGAAAGGGAGGGAAACAGGTCCGTGACGTGGGAAGTGGAGAGGAAGTAGTCAAGGCGAGTTGTCTGGAGTGTGAGAACTGGATGGGAAGGGAGGAAAACAGGTCAGCGACGTAGGAAGTGGTGAAGGAAGTAGTCAAGGCGAATAGTCCAGAGTGTGGGAACTGTTTATGACGATTATATTAAGGTATTTGGAATCCTAAAATGCTATGGGAAGGGAGGAAAACAGGTCCGCTACGTAGGAAGTAGTGAAGGAAGTAGTCAAGGCGAGCTATCCGGAGTGTGGGAACTGTTAATAACGATTAGTAAGGGTATCTACAATCCTAACATGCAATGCGAATGGAGGGAAACAGATCAACGACGTAGGGAGTGGTGAAGGAAGTAGTAAAGGCAAGCAGTGTGGAGTTTGGGAATGGATTTATGTATCTGCAATATTAAGACTACTTTCAGAGTAAACTAATGATTTTCCCCGAGCAAAGCTCGGTCTCCAGGTACTATTCTTTAACTTATTTAAGCAAGTTTTTAATAGTTATAGAGAAAATATTAATTAATTATATAACAATCAATTATAACAGTAGCCTACTAATCTAATGGTAGTTAAATAATCTATATTCAAACACTAGTACCCTCTCCAACTACCAGAAAAACAATTCAACTACTTGAGGCCTAAACAGTTTAACAGAATCATATTATAGGCTACTGTAGCATCAACAATATTTAAAGTATTAATTGTGAGCGTTGCACCTGTCGGCTACTCTTTCACCACTTGAAAACACTCTTAATCAACGAGCCCAGTTAGCTCAGAGGTAAGGCGTGAGGTGAGGCTCACAAGTCGAAGGTACCAGGTTCGCGACCCGTCGCGGCCAAAAATTTTTATCTTGTTTTATTTTCAAAATAAGTTTTTATGAACTATTTAATCAATTTACTCAACTCATAATTATGCTTTTCATACAAAATCTTTATTATTTTGTGTTTTTTATGTTTATGCCCAATGGGATGGTTGGCTCTTCCGCAAAAATTGGTTGGTTGGCCAACCGTAAGACTGAGTGCCAAAACATACCGTTGGCCAACGATCTACAGAAACGTTGGGCCAACGATTTGCCAACGATTTTTGCTACTTGGGCTGTTATTTGTTCAAACATAAATCCAGTTAATTGTGAGGAGGCTATTTGTTTCATAGTCACTAAATTTAATTTAAAAGAATCACATAACAAGTAATTTCATATAAAATCAAACATCTTCTGAATGGCAAAGCTCTTCACCCATTTAACACGTTCCCTGCAGGCCACTCAACGGTGAGTGCTCTAGTTCCTTTCTGCCACGCTGAACGATCACCAGTGAGTGCCGGCATTGCCTACATTCCGTTCAATTTCTGCGCAGCAGCACACCGGTGAGAACGGGTATTTTTTTATCTGTGTTTTGCTAGGAATGGGTGCTAAATGGAATGGGGTAGTAATTCCCTTCTGGCAACTTTAGAAATCAACTTGTTGTCCCGGTTTTTTCCTGCTATATGTGAGGGTTTCAGCAGACTTTGTCGACTCTCCTCATAACGTATCATATCACCGCAAGTCATTTGCTATTTGTCAGACCGAAATTTTTTAAAGAACAATAAGTCCGCTTGACGCTGCGCTGCACTCGGGTTACACCTGCCATTTGGTGGGCTGCAGCGAACGTGTTAAATACTGTGACCAACATTTATTTAAGGATGTTGGCCAACTCCTCAATCCTTGTTTGTTACATGTTTCTTTGTTGTGTTTTGGTTTGGTTGGAGTTTGCAAAATAATGCAGTTTCCCCATTGAGATAAATTTTTAGGAGTAAGTTAGTAGTTTCTTGTAAGTAAAATGTAAACTCATTTAAAATATATTCCAAATGTAATATAATTACCTATACTAGGTATATTGATACTCCCTGGAAAGATTTAGAGTATTTTTTCCTTTGGTCAAAACAATTTGTAAAGAACATTACATAAATATGGCTCTAAAGTGCCTGGTGTTTTGCCTGGCTTTATGTTTGTGATTTTTACAAAGTACCTACCATATTCATAACTTTTAATTCATGAAGATATTAAACTTAAATTAATTTTGACCATTTTTAAATTGTTACCAGTCATAAATTTGGCACTTTGTGCAGAAATTGCTCCTATCACTCAATACTTTTGTACTAAAGATTGAAATCAATCACTTAAGGGGTTAAAAATATATGGATACATTTGTCACATCCAAACATACATTCAGGGATTTTAGACCCATGTTTGTATGAAGTTTTTTATTGTTTTTATCTGAGGAACAAATACTGTACCAACACAAAATTTTTCCAGGGAGATTGTTTACACCCTGTATGACTCTTTGCCAATTTGGGGGAAAAAATTGATTTTTACTTTTTATTTCTAAAAAGTGTATTTTAAAATTTCAAGATCGTAAAAGTTTGTCATTAAAATAACTAACTTTATTTTTGGACATGTAAATTTAAAAATTATTCTCCATACTAAATTATAGAAGTTATAAAGTAATTGTACTCACTGGTTGGGTTAGTATAAAGCCAGTTTTAAGAGCAACACATTTTGCCACTTTAATACCTCCTGGTATCTCAACAATCCAACTATTTGTATAGTAGACAACTCCTTCTTCAGTTCCAGATGTATTTCCCAATAAAATAGTACACAGGAGTACAAAGTAATATTTCACCATCCTTATTCTGCTTAGAATCCCAGTTTTATTGGTTTGCACTTTTCATACAACGAATCACTGAATCACTGAATGACCGTTGATTTTAGCGAATTTCCCTATAGGGAAGTAGCTATTACCGTAGGTCTCATGGTAAGACCTAAGCCCGGGACCGATTTACTTTTTCATTTTGATGTCCCCAGAGGCCAAAAACACCATTCGTTCAAATTTTTATATATCTATATATAGAGATATATATATATATATATATATATATATATATATATATATATATATGTGTCCATCCGCACGATAACTTGAGTAATTTTTGTCCGATTTTGATAAAATTTGGTTTGAAGGTGTAAGGCGGGATAAACTTGAATGAGTTCGCGAACCAGCATGATCGGACTATGGGAACGGGGGTTTATGGGGGGTTTTATGGGGTAAAAATAGGTTTTTCCCATTTTTGACCCTTAAAACACAAAATTTCACAATTTCTTTTTAAACCATTTTGTAGAGCTTAAAAAAACAAATAATTTAGTATATTGAAGTGTTATTATGCGCCTAATTGTTACGGAGAAAATTCAAATAAATTGTAATTTTAAAATTCCCATGTTATTCTTATGGAGAATAAGTCAACTGTTGTAGTTTGCTTGTTTATGAACATATTTTGATGGAAAATACTTTTATTTCTTACTAAACTATTATTATTTTATAAAACATCTTTTTTACCCTCCCTGTTGCAGCAAACCTAAGTACTCGTTAAACTAATTCTATTTAAATAGGAAATAAATGTGCTATTTTTATGGAGGCATTTTAGTGTAAATCCAATCAGGTTAATGGAAATTCGCTTAGTCTGCAGGTTTGCTGCGGCGGGGGTATTTAGTTTTCAACCTACTTACCTATTAGAATAACTCTGCAGTTCAATTTCTCTTTTAGTACTCTGTATGAGAAAGAGTAACAAACCAATTTAATAGTAATATTTCATAATTGCAAAGTTATTTATACCATTTAAACACAGTCAGAAAGATATATTTTGTTTTTAGTAAAAAGCTAGCTAAAAATGTTATTATTCACCTACATGTTTGATTGTAAAATATAAAGTAAATATCCATTGATATTACTAAAACACTTTAAGTTAACACTGTAAACAACTACGTGAAACTGAACAAATGTCTGTCAGTTAGTTACAGCTATGTAAACAGTTTACCATGGCTAATGCATATTTATTCCTGAGAAAATCGTCATATCAAACTTTGAAGCTTTCAAACTAGGTATGTGCTTTATGTGCAAAACCCCCTGACTTCTACAGTAGTTGGGTTATTATTGATTAGACCAAATATTTCCATTTTCCATGTTTTATTTCCTTCTATTGGTTCAAACCTACTATACATCTGATTCAAGACTTAAATATTTTCAATATATAATGTACCGGGTGTCCAAAACCACCCGTACACCCCTTTAAAAACGAAGGAAACCTTTTCTTACAAACAACTAATAACACAGAACTAGATAAATTGGGCACGGTCTACCAAATGGTGATATTTTCAAATTCAAAATCACACCGGAAGTGGCTTTTTCAGACCGGAAGTTGACTTTTTTTTTAATATAAACTACCAATTTTTATTAAAGAATCGGATTCTACGTTAAAAAATACATAGCTTTTATCTAAAACAGTTTTTGAAAAAAACTTGTTTTCTACCTCTAATCCCCAAATTAAAGTCAATAATTTTGAGTCATTCGTCCGTCAAAGTTACTGTGAAGATGAATGACCCAAAATTATCGACTTTAATAGGAGAATAGAGGTAGAAAACTAGTTGTTTTCAAAAAATGTTTTATACAAAAGTTATGTATTTTTCAACGTAGAATCAGATTCTGTAATCAAAATTGGTAGCTTACATTTCAAAAAGTCAACTTCCGGTCTGAAAAAGCCACTTCCGGTGTGATTTTGGATTTGAAATTATCACCATTTCGTGGACCGTACCCAATGTAGCTAGTTCTGTATTATTTTTGGTTTCTAAGAAAATGTTTCCATCGTTTTGAAAGGGGTGTACGGGTGGTTTTGGACACCCAGTATATCACTCTAGTACTGCCTCATTACTTTAACATTTTTACAACAAAAATATTCAAGTTTGGACTGTCTCTTTTTAAAAACGTTTTAAAACTCCATCGGTGTAACAAAAAACAAATGAAAAAGTATGTACGGTTTTGGGGAGATAAATAAATTAGTAGACAACTCCTGGCAACATGTTTATTACATAACATTCCCAGCCAGAGAAGTACAGCCAGGTGATCATACACTTATCACAAATTTAGAAATAAACTCTGATAGAACCAACGTTAAATAGGAGGAGTAACAGTGAACATACACTGATTAGAGTAACATAACTCCCTCTGGAGTAACATTCAGTCAGTCCGGGTAACAAATATACAAAACAAACTACTTTACAACTGCCTGTTCAGATTTCCTTCAAACCAGTACAACACTTCCCAACTATGGATCTGTACCAACTCAAGATTTGCTGCTTCACGTAACTTCTTTTTCAATATGAAAACCAATCATGTTCATTAGTAAACTATAGTTATGTCGATAAATAATTAGTTTTGTTTGAACTACAGTCTATATCAACTATTACGAAACAATAAAACATAGTGAGGAGGGAGTTAGCTAAATGTCGAAAAAACAATTCACATAGAGATAATGTACAAAATGAGTAAAAAACCTTGAATAAATTCTTGTAAAAACAAAACTAACGTGGCTTCAACTAAAGCATAACCTAAACCATAACTATGGCAAGAAGTTAGATAAACCCCCTCCAATGTTGTCAATATTATAAATGCAAAAAATATTTATTGAAAACTGAAATAAACCTAGCTAAAGAGCAGTTTGGACATCGACTGGATAACAATAATTGTGCTGCTCCTCTGATATGGCGGGTTTAGGCCTGTTACACCTAGAGCTTGGGACACAAACAAACCTAACGTGATAGAAAACATAGCAAATGGAAGCTGTAGCGTTGATAAATACATGATTAAGTTCAGTGCATAAATATATCACTAATAAGTACATCCTACTTCAAAAACATTATATGTACACCTCAAAATACAGTTGTGGTGATATCTATTTACGTTAATACTGGTTCTAAACAATTGGAACTACTAAAACCATTTTGACTAAGAGTCAAAATATAAATTACATTTACAAACCATTTTTACATTTTTTTACATCAGCTATGTTTGAATGGTCTAATTTGAAGAAAAATATATCTAGTAAATAGTAGATGTGACTTGAGGACAGAATTTTCATACTTTGCGGCTTATTCTAAAAATAATGTATTAATTAAAAATATAATTTACGATTTAAACACATACCTCATCATTTACTTTATCAAACATGTGTCTCATTTACTATTTTCACTTACGAATCTGAAAAATTTTATACTTTTCAATCTGATTATACACATTCCAGAAAGCAGATTGATACTTTATAATATATGTATAATATAAAAGATATTAATATTATACAACATTAATAATAATATTTTTCTATATACGTAATTATACTATTACATTCACTGATAAAATCAAAGAGACCATGACAATTTGTATAAACTAACTATACATTCGGATAGGATGAATTTACACGATACAGACTACGTGAAGGAGGGGAAAGCATGCAACTGAGGGAGAAGGCATACGATAGTCTAGTCGGCCCTGCGCACCCCAGGACTTTGCTAAGCGATAAGTGTTTGAAATTTTACAATTTTTATTGTCATTACTAACTTTTAAGTAGTCCTAATTTGTAAAAGAATCGAATCAAGCACGGAAGCTCTAGGGGCCGGGTCGGAATGGTTGATATTTGTACAATAACCAGACACACACTAGCTTCACTGTACAAGAAGCATAAACACTCCTCAATCCTACTCTACGAACCGACTCTTGTTGCTAAAAAATAATGACACTAAAATATATTTTATATACAAGGATTGCACAGATGGGGAGAGCTTGGGGGCGCCTCACGCCAATCTTGCGCGAAATAATCTGGAACAAGTCAAATGGTCGGTTAGTTTTAAAAACAATCGCTAGATTGTTTCATTGGTTAGGTACCAGATATTCAAAACTAAAGATATAGGCCTAGTGTTATGATTGTTTTAGTGTTGTTGATCTACTCTCTGAGGATGTCTAATTCAAGAAAGAAATATCAATCTTATGCTGTAAGATCTGTTATTGTGTATTTACTTAGACACTAAGCACTGTAAGTGCTGTGTAAGCACTTAGACACTAGATTTCTAAGGCAAGCTCACTAAACTCTATTCCTTCAGAAAAATGTTATCTATTGATAAGCTGTGTGGATGTTGGTTTTTATTTTTGAAAATTGTGGTTGTATTTTCTACGATGATTAGTGAAATACTCTGACTACTTGTAGCGAAGTGACATGTTCTAACCAGTTTTGCTCTGTTCTATAGTTAAAACATTAGAATTTCACTCTCTGATGTAGGATATGAGCTTAGACTTCCTTCAGTCAAATAAGCTATAGATATGTCAAAAAGATAAATATATATTGCCCAGAAGTTAAAAGAAGTCCATAGCTAAGATTTTCAGACGTTAAAGAGCTACAGACTTCTACTCCTACAAAAGACTATATTTGACCTTAAGAAACTTTATCCACTCCCTATTAAATATGATTTTCACACAAATATTTTGCTTTTTCCTTGGTTTAATCTAGATGTAAAATCAAGTTCTTACTTTTTAGGTATAGTTAAATTGGTAGATTGCACTATTCAATGGGCCTTATAAATTAAAGATTATTTTGACTTCTCACCTTGAATATGTTTAGTCTTTCTTTTCACCGTCCTCAGGGTCCTTGAGAGTGTGCCACTGGGCTATCGGACGTCGGGGAGAAGCCAACATGTCAGACCAATGACGGAGCTCAGTTCCAGTCGCGTTGTAGCCCAACACCACCTTGCCAATGGGCTCGGAGGTTCCGATACGATCGTAGTCCACTACTGTCACCACCAGCTGCACTTTCTACAATTCATTCCACAAAATGTGTCACTAGTTTTTTTAATGTAAAAGGTACATACAATTGTTTTTTATTCATTTTTGTTTAATTTTTGCTCTTGGATAAATTTATTTTTTCCATAATTATTATGATCAAATGATAAATTATCAGAATTTTTAATTGACATGTGCTTGCAATCATCTTAAGGTAGGTATAGTATTGAAAACTGCATTATAACTCAAAGAGATGAAATTTAAAAGTTCTAGATCACTCCTCAAAGTGCTAGAGACTTGAAATTTGGCACATATATTTGTCTTGAATCTGCACTTAAGTTGATTAATGTATTGGAAAGTTTTACTTCATACAAGGTATGACTCTCCCCAAAATGTTGATATTTCCCTTTTTGTTACTCTTATGGATAATAACATGTTACATGTAGAATATTGTAATGTATGACCTAAGAATTGGAAGGTTCGTTAGAATGTGTTCTCAAACTACAATATATGTATATTCCATAAAAACAAAATTCCTAATGATGTCCCCCACGAACCTACATATCATTATAACACTAGAAAAAAAACTCTTTAAGGCAAAATAACACAGACTGAAACCCTATGAAAAAACCCAACATATGCTGGTTTACAGTTATTTTAATCCCTGAAAATATATCAAAAAGAAAAAAATTTGATTCAATTGAAAAGATAAATGAAGCATGTTTAATTAACAAAGTAAATTACATGCTGGATGACTTTTTAATCTCCCTGCTAAATAAAGTAATATAAAAAAAATATCATTAGAATAATAATTGATTGCTGACACTATTCAATTGTATTATGTACTTGGATGAATAAAGAAGATTGTCTATTTGGCAATTCCCAGTGGTGTAAGTACATTGAGTAGCAGAACATGTGTATGGTGCCACCCCCACCCACCAAAACTTCACCACTTAAGTTTTATTTTGTTTATTTATCTCAGCAAAAGCCGTCATCAGGGCAAAATCAAAAAAATCTCGCGGAACTTTGATTGCTTTCTTTGGTCATGGAAACATAATCATCATGTTCCATGATCACGGCCAAATATTGAATATCTCCTGCGTTCATGATCGTCGTCTCCCGCGGTCATTGAAACTCGTCATCGTTTTCCATGATCATCTTTTACTTTGGTGGTCTTGAAGATAATCATCCTCTCCCGCGGTCATAAAGACAACATAATATTTTTCCCACGATTGCGGCAAATTAATGATGAATATATTCTGTGGTCTTGAAGACATCATGCTCGTCTCCCGTGGTCACGGACATGACGTCATCATTTCCCGCGATTGCGGCAAAATCATGAATATCTCTTCGGTCTTGTAGACATCATCTTGGTCTCCCACGACCACGGAGACAACGCAATCTTTTTTCGAGGATTGCAGTGAACGGTGACAATCGGACCTAACCGCCCCTGGGCCACGGCACCCTCCCCCCCACATTGTGGGGTAGTTATTTACTCCACTGGCAATTCCCACCATCTCCCTACTCAAAATGCTGGACTGCTGAAAAAAAACTACATCTTTACTCTACAAGCCGTAGTTGGTGAATGCTGCTTTCTTTTAGTTAGATTACCTTCGACTTTGCTTTTGCTATCTCGACCCTTCAAGTAAAGTAACATATTTAAATCTGTAATGTTTTCCTTATTTTGTAGTGTTAGCTTTTTGGTCATTTTTTAATTTTTCACTTAAATGTTAAGATGTTTTAACTACTTCACTTTTTAAGGTTTCTGTTCTTACCTGAATTTGTTCAAAGGGCACCTCAAAAGAGAACGATTCGTTGTAGTAGGGATTCAAAGTACATTTCTTGATGCTCGTCTTCTTCTTCTTCAACCGCTTTCCATTTTGCATAATAGCAATCTTCACGTACGGATCTAACAAAATCAAATTAAGAAAAATAAGAGTTAGTTGGTGTTTGAAACAAAAAATATTTCGGAATTCTTACTCTGAACCAAAATTGATTCAGTGCCTACTTCAAACTGCTGAGGGCTTTCAGTAAATACACTACAAGCGCTAGAAACAGTTTTGAAAATTCAATTTTTAAGTTATCAATGCTGGCAGTGCATACATCTAAACACATAACATGGTTAATTTAAAAATGATTTGTTAAAATATGCAAACTGTCATTTCACATTATATTAAATAATCATCATTAGTATTTCTTCTCTCTAGTATTTCTTGTAGAAATCCATAACTTGTGTAAAATAATTTTATTACAAATTTTACATTCCAAAAACAACAATAGAGCAAATTATTTTTCATTGAAGTTTAAAGTGAATACATTTTTACAATCCTTTCAATGGTGCAATCTTCCTACATTTTAGTCACCTGAAAAACAAAATTTCAAACAACTTCCAACAAAGACAATTAATATTTTAAAATTTTATTTATGCGATATAAGAGATATACATAACTACATTATCTAGCCTATGACCCAAATTTTTAAAAAATTTAATTCATTCTTTTTCATGCAGTAAAAACCGCATTAACCAACCTGACAGGCCTCCCACGTCCATCTTCTTAAGGTTCTTAGCTTCCAAGATGACGACGGTCAGTTTCCCGGCAGTCGGAACATAACGGAGTGAAAAGCAAATGTCTCCCAACTTGTTATCCTGTACACACGCAGATGTGATTACTAGGACTCCTAGTACAGCGGAGAAATTAAAACACCCATTCACACAATGAAGGAAGATAGGCCCTTGAATCACCACAGGGCCATTTTAAATTAGATTGACGTAAAATTAGACAATAATTATTTTAAGGTTGTCTGTGATTGTTCTGCATTAGTTGAGTGCTACACCTAGTGAAAAATACTGAAATGAATGTATCTAGGATGTAAGTTACAAAAAGTTATGCCAAAGGTTTGTTGATGTGCTAAGTTTAAAGATAAGTTTTTGGGTAGCTAAGAGGCTAGGGAAGTCAAATTGTAGCTGTGGATGTGATCGTGTATTAATTCATTGTAGCCCAGAAACTGCAATATATTAAGAAAAATTATTTAAAATAACCTTTTTAGCGTTTACAATAGTAAGCAGGGTGTTACAAATTTCATAAGAACTTTGTGTTTCAAATTTACATAATAAAGTAGTTGTCCATCATTAAGTCTACTGGAAAAGCTTTTTTGATGGTTTGAACAGACACCACATACGTATATGTGTCTTATGACTCACACATTAAATGAAATTCTTATGGCGTCTTTTATGAGCTTATCAAGAAAATAAAAATTAATGCGAACACAAACAGGATTATTGGTGGGTTCAAGTCAACACTTTTGATCTAATTTAGTCTCTGTCATCAATGTGGTCGTTACAGTGTTTGCAGAAAGTTAAAAATAATATTTGCATTTAGCTGGACTTTGAAATTGTGATTGTTAAAATAGTAATTTTTTTACTGCATTTATTGTTTTGTCGAATCTATGTAATATTGATGCAAATTTTACTATATCTTTCACATATTTGGAATGAACAATACAATTTCTTAGAAGACCAGTTTTTGGTCTACTCAAATCACTTTGGATACGATGAAGGAAGAAGGCAAATTCTACTTAAGCTGTGCACCGTTTATTTCATGTGGGTCTCTCCAGCCTAGCTCAACGCTCAACCACAGAAGGTTAAATCTTTTAAGTTACTCATCATACCTGAGCCAGAGGAACTTTCAACCTACGCTGTTGTCGTGGCTGGGAAAACGCAATATCTTTGAATGGTCAGCGGTTGTTGAAATCTAATGTATACTGCATTAAACAATACTTGTAAACCTAACAACCTAGTGTTTTTAGTTATGCTTATACTGAATTCTTAGTAAATGTTTTTACATTACTTCCGTTTTTTTTTCTGCTAGGGAAAGCGGTCCAAACCCATATTTGTCGTGGATATGACAGGAATCGAACCCGTCCCTCCCGCACCAAAGTCTGAGATGCTAACCCCTAGGCTGGCAAAACAGCCAAATTAAAATTACTAGCTAAAGTTTTAATGATTTGAATGATAGACAGAAAGTCCAACCACAGACAACCATTGTTTTTTGAATTATCAAAATGATACATAATTGTATAAACTAAACACATAATAATTTATCTATTTCTAGATCACGTTTAAAACAAAACAAACTCAACGATAAAGTGCCAAATGAGACTTTAACATTGATGTTGATGAAGAGCAAGAATATTTAATGTATGTCAACTGTAATTAAAGGGTCATATGCGGATACATTGTTTAGCCAAAGTAGCATATGGCATAACCTAGAGAAGATCTCTAATATAAAGAAAGTTTTTCCCTCCTGTCATTTTTAGTTTAATAGATAGGGGACATACAACTTTAGGTGATTTAAACCCATCAGGACAAGGCAATATTAAAGGATATAAAGCTTATTAGAGGTTAAATACCTTGTTGTCAATGTAATCATTGGTTGTCTGAATAGCCACCGGTTTTGAAACTCCTAAGGTGTCATTATCAAGCCTTCGGTAAAATTGTTGGTTTATGTCCGTGTCTCATGTATGTGTTTTGAATACTTTTTGACAACCTCCTAGGAGCAACAACCACACGTCTAGGGCTTGACAATGACACCTTAAGAGTGTCAAAACCACTAGCCATACAGACAACCAAGACTACATTGGCAACAAGGTATTAAACCTCTAGAATAGTATAATTTTTAAGTAAGTTAATCCGGAAGACAACACCTCAAAAATGAAGATATAAAGCTGTTGATGATTGGGGAGACGTCAACCCTGGACCAAGAGCAGAAGTCTTACTCTAGATCATAGTACTGGCCAGTTTATCCCATTTTTGTGTGGATTCAAAATCCAGCATTCACAATAAAAAATGTATACTGCATCTTTAAGAAATAAAAACAACAAAAAGTTGATACTTTAAAAATATACATAGTACACGTTTTGCGACCACTATATATTAACATGAAATTAAAAACCCAGTCTATGATGGTATAAAAGTTCTTGATTGTTGCTGATATTTTTACCCATTACAACCATAGGCTACATCTGGATTTGAAGTTCCATGAAATAAAATAAAAGTTGACCAAATATTTCACGAGGCAACAGGGGTTTTTTAGACCTCAAAATAATTACAAATACATTTGGCATACACGTTTTTAGTAAGTTTTCAAACTATTTCACCATGGGTAGTTCCACCATACTCAAACTATTTCACCATATATTTGTAAATGGTTACTTTGTAGTCAGAGTGAGTGTATAAGTTTACCATCTGAGGGTAAAACTGTAGTTACAGTACCCTAAAGTGACAAGACAATAAAACTTTGTCTCACTTGGCATTTTCTAACACATACACAACACAGATACGGTACGACTAGTGGGTCAGGTAAAACAGCTAAAGCTCACTCTGGTACACACCAGCTAGGGTGACTACTGACCTATCCTCCCTCAGGTCAAAGGTCAGAGTCATGTATGAGTCACAAACACATTCTCCTCTTAGATTTGTATCCAGTTTAGTTTAACGTTTTTAGTTTTTGTTCAAAGTCACCTCTATGACTAGTTTGTTCTTAAAAAATTAGGAATTGTTGAAGTCTTTAGAACTTTAAAAGTTTACAAAGGTATAAATAGAGATATAGTTTTGTAAATTAATTGTAATATTCATTGTGTTTGTGGCGACTCATCCATAACGACCTCACAATCTCAATAGTATAACACTTACTCAGATTTAAAACATTGATGAAAAATGAACGGAATGTACCTTAATCGTGAGAATAAGTCAAATGTAACTTTAAATGGATGACTTTAAAATTAAATGGATGGTGAGTAGCCCTAAGCTAAATCCATTTATGTTGTTATTTTATGTTAAATATTTTTTACGTCCAGAAGAGCATTGCTGGATTTACTGTTAAGCTCAGAAAGTTGTCTTCCCACATCGTGAACATTTATAATTGTCGATAGCAAAGAAACAGTTGCGTTGATTTATAAACTAGCATTTGCAGCGGCATGCTCATTCAGGTAGGTGCATGAAATTATATCATGCAATATGCATGCAGTCATTAATCCTTGCATGCTACAAATTTAGAAGTATAGGAAATGATAATACTTACTGCAGTGTATTTCAACCTCTCTGGCATTATACGTTGCTCTCATAAATGATGTAAAGACTGTTTTAACTGTTGTAGAGTTTAATATTTGACAGGTATGTCACACATTTATTTAATTAAATTCACAATTGATGCAGTGACGAGTTGGGTATTGCTAATTTTAAATTCATAAATGAAGAAAAGCTATCTCACCCAACTGTATGGAATGTATCCCTTACATGGTGTGATTCTTTTCTAGGTTGAAATTAATTCTTTGATATCAAACCCTGATGGAAAAGTAGTTATAACAAGCATTCCTTGGAATTGATGGACTCTATCAAATTGTTTTTGGTGTATTTATTACTGGGAGTTTGAATGGACACAAATGGTAGATTAGTTTTGTATGAGTTAACTAAGTCAAAGAATATGGAATTCATAATTATTAACTGTACTTTAAGTAAATGTAATTTGGGGGATCAAAGGGTTTGAAAACTGTTCTAGATATTATACATTTGATTAAACTGCAGGTAGTGATTTGAAATATTCTGTAAAACTAGTGAAACACCATTATCAGTTTCAACAATGGGGTGGGGTTTCTGCTTTTATCTTTGCTAATTTAAACTTATTCATAACATCTCAATGAATTATAGTAATAGGTTTTAAGTGAGAATGAAAGAATAAAACTGGGATAATATTTTTTAAGCCAGTCCCATTAGTCAAATAGAGTCACTGACAGATTGTACTAATATAAAAAATAGTTTGGTGTTTTTCTCTTTGTATATTTCACCATCCAAAGGCATTGTTATTACTTTATGTTCTCAAATTTAAAAATATGGGTTCTTAAAAAAGGGAAAAGGTTTTTTTATTCAAAGTTTATTTTTCTAGCCCCTGGACTATTATGTTGACAAAAACAGGTTTTATTACCTCTGTCAAATAGTACACCTCTACAAAATTAACAACTGAATAATAGTTTGACTATTGGGCTAAAGAAAAGTAAACCAACCCTGTTTTTGTCTCTATTTTTGTAATCCTTTTAAGTAAAAATTATAATAATTTTTATTTTTGCTCTCCTGTTGTATTACAGTAAACAGTAAAAATATCAATGACACATTTGTTTGTAACTGTATGAAGATTTTATAATCAAATGTTGATGAACAACTTGATCAAATCAGGCTAGTCAATGAATGGTAATTATGTGTGTGTTGAAGTTGAATGTGTTACGGAATTGAATTGAAGAAGATCTGTTTCCAAGTTGATGTTATATTTTATGCTTTGATTTAATCATTGAATTTCTGGTACTTGATGATATCCTGAGAGTTAATCTGAAGAAGAAACTCATGACTTCTTTATCAACTGGCTGAGTCTTCTCTGTTCCTATCAGTGTATATAGTAAACAAAATAATCACTGTGTGGTAATAATTTTAACATTTTCAGTAATTTGATAGTTTCAAAAGGAACTACAGTATTTCTATATTAAAATGACACGTTACATTGGATAAATATTCTGTTACTGATTAGATTGACTAGTATAAGTTGGTCAAAATAACATTATTTACAGAAGTACCAAGGTGACGAGATATTTTTGGACTGTTCTTCTCGCTGGTTATCCTCGATTACCTCTGCTACTGATGAAACACCAACACTCAACGACGACGCAAAACTAACGAGCAACAAAGTTACAAAAGGCAAACACCAAGACCAAACATCGCATGCACCAAAGCACAAAAACCGGAGAGAATAAAATCCCGAATACTTACGTGAATTTCGTTTGAAGCATCATGCACATAGAGTCCAACAACCAAAACACAGGCCAAAAGCAGAGCAGAGAATAATCGGGAAAAATAGAAACAAGAGAAAAACCAACATGAATCAAAAAATGGCAGTTGATTGAGTGAGTGTAGATGCAGGGGAACCAAAATGCAGTGATACAATCAAAACCTTGTGACTTTGTGATGGGAGCCATTCCAAAACAAAATCCAAAACTCAAAATGGCAGCTGAATATTGGCAACCCTTGACAAAGCCAGTTTGAAGTAATACAATGTGGTTCTTTGTTAGCAGAATTAAAATAGTAAACGCGCATCTTGTAAGATGCAGATACCTTTTTAATTATATACAATATTTCTTGGATATAATTAAGATTAGATGGGTTTTCTTACACGGTACTAGATCTATGGCTTCAAAGGTTTAATGTTTGTTTACTTCTAAGCTATTTTTTTTCATTCTAATTTAATATATGAGGCCTACCAGTAACTACTTCAAGGGAATACAAAATGTTTGATTATGATTTTTTTTTATGGTGGTAATTTAATGGACCTACAGTTGTAGTATTATATGGCAATCTCTACTGTACTGTTTACTAGGTATATAAAGGTGATAAATACTTTACTATTAAAAATTATTGACAATTATTTCTAAACTTTTGTTTGTGTTTTTTCTTAAAGAATAAATTGGTATAAAATCTAATGTAGTGGAAGAATAATAATAAATGTCAATCATAAACACATTTTGAAATCCAAAGTTTTAGTCTAAATTATTGTTTATACACAATTTAGCATATCAGAGTCAGTAACCCCAAATGCATTTCATTTTCAGATTGGTTTCTTTTTAAGAGGAATTAAATAGCTTCTCAACTACATCACTTTTATGGGTGTTAGCATAGTAATTTAGATTTAGAATAAGAATAGAATTTTATTAAACGTTTTTGTACATCATAAATATGAAAATCCATTAAAAAGCATAATTTTCAAATGTTGAGCTACTTTCCAATTTGCAATCTTTAGTAGAATACGATATGAGAGGTACAGTTAGACTGTCCAAAATTTGTTAAAATACTTCTATTTAAATTAAAAATGTATTCACATTTTTCATTACTTCTTTTTTTTCAAATCATTAATACCTTATGTCTCTTTTATAATGTGGTTATCTTAACTAGTTAAATTGTCTTTTATTGCAATGAAGACATTATTGAATAAAAAAAATGCACTTCGCAGAGTTTTTAGCATGCAGCATTTTGGCGTCCCCTGCATTGTACGATTGTACGAGTTAGTGAGCAGCTCAACCATAATAAGACGTCATTCCTTAGTAAAAGTTCTAAATAATGTGAGTATTATTGATTAAAATCTAAAAGCATAAAAACAGCAAAGTTGTAAGTACAAATTGTATCTAAAGAATAATCAATCAACTATAAAAGTATGTATTTTGTGAAAAATAAAGTGTGGTAAAGCAATAATGTAAAAACATTCACCTACTTATTATAATGTATGTTATAGGAAATACAGGAGAGTTCCACAATGTTTAAAACATTTGCTGTGTGTTTTACAGAGAAAAATTAAAATATGATGTCTAGACTAGCAAGATTAGTGGAAAGCTTTGGCACCTATTTATTTATAGAGACACTCGTGTAGAGAGATAAATGTAGTCATTGGTAGTTTATTTTTGTTTTTAGTTTAAGAATGTAACATTGGGCACAACGACCTAGGTTTGAATTTTTGTTATAGCAGACTCATCTGAATGGGAAATATTCTACCTGGCATGAAAAACACAGTAATGTCATACTGTCCACAAAAATTAAAAAATTTGTTGTTGTTGACAACTTCTTGGCCACCATTGGAATTAATAGTATTCATTTATTGGACTTAAAGTCATTTCTCTTCCCAATTAAAACCTTTCTTGGTAGAAAAGGCTGTCAGTGACATTGAAATATTCTAATTTTTATCTTGTACTCGTTCCCAACCCAATAAGTCTTCTATACTAACAAATTCCTTTGTGCTTTACTTAAGAAATGCTCTTGAGGAGTAAATATTAGGAGATGGCCATTCATACCATCTCACTATATATACCTTCGGAGGGTCAATCTTCAAATATATGTGAGAATATGGCCTGCTAAAAGAGTAATAAAAACTTTGTTTAATCTTAAGTTTTCTCAAGACATTGTTAAATTTAATTTAGGATTACAGAGGCAAGTCAATGCGGAAGAGAGAAATTTAGAAATATCAAAAGATGATGTGAATGAAATTTCTAAATTAATTTCATTCCAGCCCAACTTTACTTTTCAGACATCATACATTAAAGTTAACCGCATGAAAACTATCCAAAGAAAATATATGTGTCTAATTTACGTAGAAAACAATTGGAGTTAACTGTTTCAATGACAATTTCTTGGAAGGTTTTCATGTGGTCTTCTAGTAACTATTTTTCTCTGTATGTACTGTAAGTGTTTTCTTGTTGTGGCTCATCCTGTTATGGATTTGTCAAACTACGCTGATGGGAAACATGCATTGTGAGCGACTGGTCCAAGCTCGCGCGGGGTGGCAAGCTAAGCACAATGTTTTTATTAGTTATTTTAATAATTAAATCTTTATTTTTAAAATTCATTGCATTTTGTAATTTAGGTTTCTGTATTATACTGTTTATCTAACATAGAAAATTTCATAAATATTTTTTATAGAAAGACATCATTGAGACTAAACATTTAAATAGGTTAAAGCAAAAATGTATTTCCAAATTTTGTTTTTGGTACCGTACTATCAATTAATTTTATGCTTTTATTTTATTGTTTATTTGTTGAATGATTTGTTTAAGTTTGATCCAAGTTGAGGCATGATTTTAAAATGTGGTGTCATCAAAATAGTTACGGTATTTAAATAAAAAGTTAGTGGTAGAAATTTATTTAGTAAATAAATATTGAAAATGTTTTATTGAATCGAAAGCTTGAATAAAAACAACAGTTGGACCTAGCTCAGGGGTTAATACTGATGGCTTATGTTATTGTGTCAATCTTTTAATGCATCCAGCTTTCAACATGTCAACTCAATCTATGAAATATATCTTTGTAAATAATTTAACATTGTGGTCTTTATCCAGGGAATAAACTCAAATTCAAAGTAATATGAGATGATTCATATGACATCATAGTAGAAAGATATATTTCATACTTGTAAAATAAATTAAGTTTAATTACTTAAAAATTCAACAGGGATGCAAACCCACGACACTTTGCTCATTCAGTCTTAAAAGTTATACTATACAAAAGGTTTAAAACCCATTTATTTTGGTACTGTGATATAATAATGTGCGGGGATAAAAACATTATGGAAAGTAATTAAATTTCAGTCGATATAATTTGAGAAACTTTCTGAAAGTGAAGTTATTGTGTGAGGTAAGATTCTGAGAGTTTGCAGAGAACCTTGACTTTAACAGTATCAAGACTTAATACCGGAATTTCAAAGTTTTTATTTCCAAATAATAACTTAATAACTATTTTTTATTTAAAATAGGTTCATAAATTTGCAAGATATTCCCCCCTCCCCCCCCTGCAACTTAATTTTTTTTTAAGTAAGGTACCCCTTGTGACATATCAAATGAAAGAGCATGAAAAAAGGAAATGTTTGGTGAAATTTATTTTTCATTTGATATGCCACAAGGGCGGGTACCTTGCTATTAAAAAACAAGTTATGGGTAGTGGAAAAGGGGGGGATTATCTCACTAATTCATGAGCCGATTTTACATTTTTTTCACCAAAAATTTTCTTTTTTCATGCTCTTTCATTTGATATGTCACCAGGGGTACCTTGCTATTTAAAAAAATTAAGTTGGGGGCAGGGGGGGAAAGGTGGGAATGTGAATGTAATGTTGAATTCAAAATAATTGGGCCCCCTACGTCAGTAGATGATTACCGAAAACTGCATATTTCTATCTATTGCGGTTTTTATATAAATAAAGATGCAAGTTTTTAAAAAAACACCCTGTATAATTCAGACTTTAACAGTGACAGATTGAGCATGGTCTAAAAGAGCTGTAATTCCAAGGTATAGTAAAATCGTTACGGTACCAAAAAATAATCATAAAAGGTATACTACCATTTTTGTAATACACGTGAGCTTAGCAAATTGTCTGCAACTCTGCCTAACAAGTTCAGAAAACGTATTCAATGTAAAGAAAAATCCCCAAAACATAATATTGGTATTTACATTACTATCCCAAATGTGTTTCAATGTGTGTATTATTTCACCATACTGATATTACTACAAGCTCTCTGTTTCTTTTACTTAAGATATAAATCACATTATTACATCTCAAACCGTATATATACATTTGATCACATATAGTGGATGATTGAGATTGTCTTATCCCCCATCAACCAAGAATAAGCCAAGTGTCGTGTGATGGACTATAGCCGAGCGTGTTACCTGTCCGCCTTCTCCCTCCACACTCTGCAGTTCCTTCCATTCCTCGATGGTCTGCGCCAAGTCCACCTGACACAACGGTACCTTCACCTCTCCAATCTGGTCGTGCTTGGAGAACCGGTCAAAGTCAAAAATGGCAAACACCAACGTCTTGTTCATCGCATCAGCATACGGCACACCCTGAAATACTTAACGTTTTTAATCTGTAAAATCCACAGTTCCTGAAGACTTTTTTGTAAATGTTTTATCAAACGGAACATTACTAAATTGGCCCTCAAATGCATGCTATTCAAACATATGTTAACTCTCAGGACTGTTTTGGCCAGTTGGCACTGGCTTGTCAATGATGTAAAGCGCAGAATAGCATCAAAATAAGCTGTCTCTGTGTTGGCTACTGAACTGAAAGTTAGTGATAACTAGTTTGTGATGGCTTCTTTTTCATCCCACTACTCAGAACTTTTTGAATTTAAAATGTACTGTCTATTCATTGCCACCAAGCAGACATCAAAATAAACAATATTTTTCAGAAAAAAAAAAACATGTATTTTACTAGCATTGAAAAATGTCTATATTGGCCAGTACTAAGAGCCAACCAAGCGGCAAAGGCCACCAAAGTGTGAAATTTATTCAGGTCGTTGTGTAAAGGCTTACTATACAGGAACACTATGAAAATCATACCTAAAATATTATAATACCATGTTGTATAGGTATTCAACTATTTAAAAATGAATTGTTCTATTGCAAACAATAAATAAAAAACCACCTTGAATGTAAACGTTTCATTGAAAACAGGATTTAGAGTCTTTCGGTGGACTTTGGTCTCAAACTTCTTCTTCTTGTCGGGCAGCAGGTACACCTTGACGTACGGGTCAGACGTTCCTCCCATGTCCAGGGCAGGCAACTCCTCTGCTTGGATCACCGTCACGGCCAAACTGTTGGAGTTGAAGTCATATTCCAGCTGCAAACAAACGTGTATTGAATTATGGCTTGTCTTTGGTTTGAATAACAAAAGATGCAGATGACAACTAGAAAGATGATAGGTTTTTATGATGATAAAATCAGTGAGGCAAAAATCAGTGACCAATGAGTGTAGTGTAGAATTATTGAGATAGTTTTTTATTGACTAAGGACAGCTGGGTCCAGATTCAAACTATTCAGATTTTGATAGTATTTAATTGAATGAACGAAGTGAATTCTCATACATGACAAAATGCATCTCTTTGGGACGCAATAGCCTTAGAAATACTATGTATATCCAACTTGAAGTGTTGCACAAAGATTTTATAGCATAATATCTTGAGAATATCAGTTGTTGAAGAATATTTATTCTGTAATAATTATAAAATCTTAAAAAAACCATTTTAATTTTCCCCCATAAGAATAACATTAAGAGCTACCTTCTTCTTCTATTTTTTGTTTACATTTTACAAGCAACAATTTTGTCGTATATTTGAGACACAGAGAACGACCAAAGTCTCTTGTTTCTTCTGTCCATGGAGTATACAGGTCTGCTTAAGAAATCTTTCATTCCACGGTTTCTAAAAAAATAACAATTGGTCTACTAAAAGAAATGGGGAATTTAAAAGATATCCACATAAGTTTATTGAAATGAAATCGATGAAAATAATAGTTAATTTTTTTAAGTTTTTACAAGTTGAAGTCGTTACAGTACGAGTACAGTGTCAGTCAGTGTCGTCAGTAGCCATGGTATGGTCGTTTTGTAGGTTATGTTATTGTTGTAAGACCAGTGACCACAGACGTTGGGTTGCTTAGTGTAGGTACTGTTACTGTTATCTTAACCTCGCTAAAAATTTTAACTGAGTTGGAGCTATTCATTATGTTAATTTTCAATATTAACATTACAGCACACTAGGTCTATTAGTAAGTTATTGCCTTTTCAAACATTTTTCTTTTTGTCAGATCTTGGTTGTCTGCTGTTATCCGGTAGGTAGGTAAGAGCTCTCTGAGTGATTGATGAAGGTTTAGGGGTTTGTTTTACTTTTAAGTCCATCTAGACCTAGGCCTACTCAGCCTCCCTAAGACTAATAAGCATAGGTAGTAAAATTCTCTTTGGGTAGGGTTTATTTCTTTAGTTAACTTACAGTTCCGCAGAGGACCTGCGAATGCAATTTATATCTTAATTGGTTGAAATACATGAATTAGTTTAAAACTCTCTTTGGGTAGAGTAAGTTAACTTACAGTTCCTTAAAGGACTTACAAATGCAATTGATATCTTAATCGGTTGAAATGCATAAGTTAGTTTAAGTTAAAACTCTCTTTGGGTAGGGTAAGTTAACTTTAAGTTCCGCAGAGGACCTGTGAATGCAATTTATATCGTAATCGGTTGAAATGGATAAGTTAGTTTAAAACTCTCTTTGGGTACGGTAGGGTAAGTTAACTTAAGTTCCGCAAAGGACCTACGAATGCAATTTATATTTTAATCGGTTGAAATGCAAAAGTTAGTTTAAAACTCTCTTTGGTTAGGGTGAGTTAACTTACAGTTCCGCAGAGGACCTGTAAATGTGATTTATAACTTATCTTATTCGGTTGTAATATTGATAACTTTTGTAGCGATTATTATTCGGTTTAAAAACTTATATCTCTAAGTACCTACTAAAAATTGTTGCTGCACTTGGCTGCACTTTACTTGACGTCCTACACTCATTCGAATGAAAATATCGATCTATATATCGATTAATCGATTGCTTCATTCGATATATCGTTTGGTTAGTTAGGTAAGGTTAACCTAACCTAACTAACCAAACGATATATCGAATGAAACAATCGAATGAAAATATCGAATCGAAAAAACAATCGAATGAGTGTAGGACGTCAAGTAAAGTACAGCCCTGCACTTAAGTAAGTTAAAATATCTGTCCTACACTAATTCAAATGAATATATCAATTATTTCTTATGTACCGGTACCGTACTTCATTTGATATATCAAGTTTGGTTAGCCTAACCTACTTAATTAACCGAATAAAATAATCAATATAGGCCTATTGATAATTTGCATTCGAATGAGTGTAGGACAGATGCTAAAGTGCAGCCAAAAATGTTCCCAATTTAAACATTGAAACGAGTTATAAACTGTATTGCTGTGTAAGTTTGTATTGCTGTTAAATTAATGTAAACATCTATCTGAGTTAAGTGAATTAGAGTTTTTATTGATGTTTTGTAAATGAAACTAGGCCTAACTTCACTAAGTAAGTTATTGAATCAAAAACAAAATAGGCTATATTTTATGAAAGTTAACTTAAACATACAGAAACAATAACCAAAACTTGTTGATATGATTAGTTATGAGACTAGACCTTATAAATCAACTTAGGGTTCCGAAATGTAGTAATTTCTTTCTTTTTTAGACATAAAAATTTACAAAAATGATCAAAAAGAAACAACTTTATTAGGCTATTTTAAGTTAAATGTTTTTGTTATTTTAAGCCTATTTTTGAAGCAAATTTCCCATTATACGGAATTATCAAAATGCTGTAGTACTCATGGTAAGACCTGAGACATGCACCCGGACCGATTTGCTTTGTCATTCTGAGGTCCCTAGAGGCCAAAAACACCATTCGTTCAAATTAATTTTTATGTGTGTCCGTTAACACGATAACTCAAGGCAAAAATGATCCACTTTGATGAAATAGGCTATGGTATGCATCTATTCGAACGAGTTCACGAACCAGCATGATCAAACTATGGGTACCGTACAGGGGTTATGGGGGTTTTATTGGGTGAAATTGGGGTTTTTCCTTTATTGACTCTGAAACATACAATTTTATTTACAAACAATTTAGTAGGCCTAAGTTTATACTAAAGCGTTATTATAAGCATAAAGGTTACAGAGAAAATTTAAAAAACTACATAAATAAAAAATATTTATTAGGCCTACTCATGGAGAATAAACATACAAAACACTTTTTTAGTTTTACCGTACCCTCCTGATTGCAGCAAACCTAAGTAGACTCACTAAACCAATGTTATTTAAATAGGGAATACTGTAACTTAATTGTGATATTTTAAGGAGCTATTTAAGAGTAAATCCAATCAGGCAAATGGAAATTCACTTAATCTGCAGGTTTTCTGCGGTGGGGGTTATTTAAATCATAGGCCTATGGGAAATAGTTATTTGGGAAATGTTTTGGCACTAGCTATAGGCGAGTATGGAAAGTATTTCGAGTGCATGAAAGGCAGTTTGCATACACATTACACATTATATATTTCCTACAGTAACTAGGCTATAAAGCATAAATGATTAGTCTTTCAATCACTGTGCCACACGTTTTTAGGTTCACAGAGGATACGCATCCGGTAACCGGACATAGATTAGGCGTCCGGCAGTGACGACACCGGGTTGTGGGGGCCGGGAACGCCATTTCCACAACGATACGATGTACTGCCATCGGTGTTCGTGGTGTAGTGGATAGAGTGCTCGGCTGATATGCAAGAGGTCCCTGGCTCGAATCCCATTGGTAACTTTAACTTTTTGTCAAAGATTTTGCTTAGAATGCAATTTTCTTCTTAACTGTTCATCTTTAGTTAGAATTTTTAGCATTTATAATTTTATTTTATGAACAGAATTTTACCTTCATTAGATTTTTACATTCTCAGCAAGTTTGGTTGGCTAGGTTAGGACAGTAACTGCCGGATGCCTAATCCACGTCCGGTTACTGGACGTATCCTCTGCGTTTTATGTTATGTTAAATCAAATCCAAAAATTGAACGAAATGGGAAAAATATGCACGCTGCACTAGCTGATCGTAATCGCAATATTTGTAAGTGTTGCCCACTTATTTTCAAGCGTACACGCTGTTTTGTGTTGTTTGGTTGGAATAGGCTACTGGTGTGTGGCAACAAAAAAAAGTGTGGCAAGTTAGATGTAGTAATCCTAAGCAGCTTTCTGTGCTATAATCAGAGCAAGGAAGGCAACTTTGTCAGGTGACTGTAGGAAAATTAAATTTGATGCAATATTAATATTGAATCGAATTATAACTTAATCGATTTAGGGTGTATTGATATTTAATCCAATGATAAGTATTGCAGATTCTCTGTGGAACTGTACCCTTCTCTTTGAATCCAATTTAATTTGGCTTTAGCATCGATAGTTGGAGCTTAATTTGGATTTAAACAATGCAGGCACTATACTAACTGATTAAAAAGCTATAAGTTAAGTTGGGAAAATAGCATAGGTTAGGTATAGGGATCCCTTTATGGAACCTTACAGTAGGCGCAGGCTTTAAGCGTCCGTAATTCACCTAAGTTGATAAAAATTCATGTGACGAGAGTTTCAAAAAAATTTACCACAGATTTCCACATTACCTATTTCTTGGTTTTAAACTGGCTTGTATCACCATGAATATATAGGCTACATAGCCTACATGTTTCATATTAAACTTGATCCTGATATTATTATACTGTAAACTTACTGATGGATGGGGAAAAGAGAAAATGAGTCGTTTGCTGATTATTCCTGCTGGGTCTAAATAAGCGATTCTAAGTAGTACCTATTGTTAATTTTTAATAAGGGTTTGCATTGGATCAATGGTGTACTTATGCCGGATGAAGTTTAGCAAAAGAAATATCTGTTAATAGCCAATTGGTAAGATAACTTGCATAGGTCTAGGCTATTTTGTTTTTGTAGCCTAAATGGTAGGTCCTCGATAAGTTGTATTTAGCCTAATTGTGTTTCTTTAACATAATATGCCTTAGGCCTACTAAGCAACCATTTAATATATTCCATAATTAAATATTACCTTGCCCAGCTTGTGACAGGTCACACACTTCTAGGCATCAGTTTACGTGAAAGAAATTCCCAACTTCTATTAGCAATTAGGGAATAACATAGATTGGCAATACCTGTACACAGCAATATCATAGTAAGTAGTTGTGGTTGGCATAATTTTATGTAATGGGATAAATAATAGGCTACCATTACTGTAGTGGTGAACCTGTTA